CCCTCCTGAAATCTAGGGCTGCTGCCTTGCTGCAGGCCTTTGCCACCTTGCGCTGGATGGTGGGTTCCAGCAGGCGATGATCACTGTCGCCCAGGTGGTCGAGCACCCGCAGCCATTTATAACAGTATAATTCTATAACAGTAACATTTTATAACAGTATAATTTATTAACTGAGCTGCAGCTTACCTTCCAAGAATGATATGTGCCAGATGGATCTGTTTGGTACAGTCTGGGACTACCATCATCATCAAAGCCCACAATCAAGGCAGAAATACCAAAGGGTCTACGTCCATTGCTCTGTGTGTAACGCTAAGAACAAACTGCACAGTTTTAACGTTCTAGATACCGAAAATATTATCTGTGCGATTCATGTGAAACCAAATGTTGAAAAGGTTCTGAACAACAACAATTAAATCTATATTTGGTCATTATTGATCTGCCATTAGAAAAATGCAATTCCTAGTATTTGGGATTACTAAATAATCAACATTTTCTACATTTGCATAACCCTACTGATGTTGTCCAGAAATAACTAATAGTAAATTTTGACTTTTAGTGAGACCCTAAGTAATGTAGATGTTTAATAGACAATAGGAATTATAAACTAATCAGCTTACTTTTTAATATTTTTACTTAAAGCCACTACAGACATGGAGTGGCCACAACCCAACAGATTTGATTGATTATATAGCTCATAGCTGTTCCATTAAACTTTAAAAGGGTATTCTGAAATTGAGGCTCTATGTTTATAAATTTCACCCTCAGTTCAGCCTTTCACACTACTGATTTTAAAAATTTTATTAAAAAGGAGCTTTTAACTTAATTTTCTTTATATAATAATGCTGTTCTCTGTCTTTGTTTTAGGAATGATCATAGAGTCCTGGTCCTCCACACCCACTAGAAAACACTAGAGGGCAATACTAAGTGGACAATAATAAAAATCATACAGCACCAGCATGAGGTCAGATTACAAGCTACAGATGGATACACATCTCTCTCCCCATCACACTACACTTGTCCATTATTATTTCTAAACAAAGCAGGAAAGCTCTTGTCTATTCCCTTAACATGTGAAAGTAGGAAGGGAAAGACATCTGCAGATACTCCCCAGAAGAGCTAAAAATTACTATCATTGTTTCTTACAAATATTATTTATTCTTTAGAAGTCCTGTGCTAGAAAATTTGGCCTATTTCCCTTCTTTACTGGTAATGTGACACATTTCCTACTTCTGCTCTTGTGTAATAGATTTCTGGATGCAGCTTTTTTGTTTTTTAAACGTGTTACCTGAAGTGTTACCTAAATGTCTTAATAGATAACATAACTCCAAGGTGCTCACCTGCTTTAGAGTTGCTATATAGCGTGTTATATACTCTACTGTGACTGGATCCTCGACAGTAAGCTTATGGCTTTGACACTCCACACGGGCTCTATTAATTACTATTCTGGCATCAGCAGTCAGACCTGAATAATTATAATTATGAAACATGTCATAAAAGGTGTTTTCGTTATCAAACAAAGACTTTGTTATTCAAGAAGCAAAATACTGTTATGAAAAAGAGAACATTTTGTTTTATGAGAAACAATTTGCTCAGAAATGGAGCATAGAGAGATAAAAAGCATCTACTCTAAACTGAATATAGAAGTAACACAAATTAGTTCACCTCAGAAAACAGTATTTAAAGTAAAACTTCAGGATATACAAACTTTTAATTCAAGAAATATGGATTTAATGGACACTTGCATTAATTGTGAAAAGAAACTAAGGAACTTCAAAGGAGGCTCCTGGCAACTTGAAATTTCAGTTTAAAAAGTGTTGAAAATCAGTTTCTAAGTCTCCTGCCAATTTTTACTATCCTGTTACCTTTTCCTTGTGTTCTTTTCCTCCCCTCTTACTTTGTGACTTACACAAAATAAAAATTATTATACAAGAAAAATTAAAAATGACCATACGCTAAGTGTGGCCAAAGTCAAAGTAAACAAATAGGAAAGGAGAAAAAATGGAAAAATATTTTTCACAAATTTGTGAAGAATACCCTCTTCAGTGTTTTCTTTAGAGTTCTGAAAATAGTTTGCTTTTTACTGCTTATTTAAATTAACTGTATATCTTTAATTCAGCATCGGATGAAGTTGGATGTAGCCTAATTTGTTCATGCCCCTCTGAACAAATTAGACTATAAGGTGCCACCCTGCTCTGCCTTCCACCTAACTTCAGTTTAACATGGCTACCTGACTCTCTCTAATTATCAAAGGTGGGATGACAACCAAAGTATATTATACCTTCTCCCAAAGTAAGATACACTCTTCAAAATCTTTCCATTTTCACAGTCGATAATGTAATTCAGATGCTTAAAACACATAAGAGTTTGTAGGTTGAGAACTTAATATTGCACTTAATTTTATGAAAGGGATGGCATGATACGAAAGGGAGTTCTTGGTTCAACAAAAAAATGCTTGTGGTATGTAGAATCAATAATATGTAATCCCCAGATTGGTTTATACAGGTAACTCTCTTTTAGCAAGGAAGGTGTCTGGTAATTCCATGGGCTTTTGTCGGTCACCTACAGTGGTCAGGAAGGAGTTTTTCCCCTATTCATGAAACCTACTGAAGGTTGCCTTCCTCTGAGATGTTGATTAAAACTAAGACAGGATTTTTCACTGGAGTGTGCTAACATTTGTACCAGTACTTAGAACATTCATAGGGTCCCTGGCTCTTCTACTCAGGGTCATATCAATTGCCAAATTTGAAGTGAGGAATGAATTTTTCCCCTACATCAGATTGGTAAAGAACTGCGGGTGCTTTTGCCTTCTTCTGCAGTAGGGGGCAGGATCTTCTCAGCATATGCAAACCAACTAATTAATACTGGAAGTAGCCTCATTTCCCAGGCTTTTACCACGCTGATTGCCATGACAGCAGTTTATGGCACTTTCTTCCCCACTCCCAAAGCATAATTCCAGAGGTGGATCCAGTGAAGTAAAGTTGTACATATGCACTTTTCTAGCCCTGTACTCTCTCTCCCATTCTCATACTGTATTTCAAATACTATCCAAACTTCTTTTGAAAGGGGTGAGGGCATTATGTATGGGACCACAAGAAAAGGTCAAGCAAGAGTCATTCAGAGTTTTTTGACTAAAATGTTTCCCATAATCCTCCAGTGATTTTTGGTTACGACATTCAAACCTGGCAGAAGAGAGGGCAGGATGGCCCTTTCAAGACTAACTGGTTCAGAGAGGCATAAGCATTTGTAGGTTGCAAACTATTTCTTCAGAGGAAGTAGGCTGTCACCCATGAAAGTGTGCCCATCTGACTTTGTGGAGCCTCTCCCATGCGGCCCTGGAGCACGAGCTAGGAGTCTGCTGCGGAGACGACCCCTGCTGTCGTGATGCAGGGTCGCGTTCTCCCGAAGGATACCCCGATACTCGCCTGCCACGTTTTGAGTGTTACGTTCAGTAGCAGAGTTCTCTTCTGTCATGGGGAACACACCAGGCGTTGTCACTAGTGCGTGTTCGTAGGAGTCCACCTCTCCTACACCCCGGCCATGAGCCAGCCCATTGGGACTGCCAAATGATGGAGAATTCGGCTCCACTTCGATGTGGTGTCCCACTCCCTCTCTGGTCACAACAACCTTTCTCCCTGCTGCCCGGATGTGGTTGGAGTGGTGAGATGACCTCAATGATGGGTCTAGCCTAGCCACGTTGGGATCTTCTGAGCGGCCCTGGCCCACTCAGCCCTCGATGTCTGTCCTTTGGACTTTTCTCTGGCCCCGGGGCTTTAAGGTAAACTGAAATATAAATAAAGAACCAAAACTCCAGGGAGGGTCCTCCGCCCCCTCCCCAATCATGCATCCTGCGTTTGCTGGCTTCACCATACCTTGGCATCCTCCTTCGGACCAACTCCCTCGCCATCCAGGGTGGTGTGGCTCTTTAAATCAGGCCCTGGACCCTCCTGCTTCGTCTCTCTCTGACCCCTCCTTGCTGGCATCAGGAGGTCTCCATCTGGCCCAGGGGATGGTCCCGCATCTATCTCTCTGCTGCATACCACCTGCTGATTTCTCACCGCCAGCTTTTATCCCTGCAGTGTTCTTTGATGGTGTCATCAGGCTGCACCAGCCCAGCCAGAGAGAAAAGCGGCTGATAAACCACATGGGCGCTCCGCCCCTCTGTGGCTTGCCTGGCCCAGCTGTGCCTGAGGGAGGTAAATTCGCCCTGTTCTCGGGGCTTTTCTTCTCGTTGTGGCGGGTTGTTCCTGCCATGTGTCATGCCGTGGGAGGGGTCTCCTGCCCCTTTCTTATCGTCCCCCGGGACAGAAAGCATATACTTCTCTGAGCCAGTTAGTCTCTAAGGTGTCAATCTATCCTGCCTTCTGCCTATCTTCAGGCTAATGCGATTAACTACCTCTTTCTACATTCAAACCTGTGATGAAGAACTGAAGGTCTCTGTACGCTTTTACCAATCTCCTGAACCATCCTGCCCATGTACACACAAGTCTTTAAAGGCATTTACACAGCCTACATCTGCAATAAGATGTTCCACAGAACAAAATCACTTCCAAGCGATACCTGCAAAAGCCATGCAGACGTGATCATCAAGCGCACATATCTTTCTTACAGTTCTTTCTTCCTGAAGCTTGGCAACAGACTTTTTCTCTACCCCCAAGACAACTATGTCCAGCCCTCGAATCCCAACCTGTTAAACCACAAAAAAAATAATTGTTAAATAGAACATAGAAAATTGAGTCATCGTTCATAACATAATAAGATATCACGATACTTGCTTTTTTTACATTTAGGTTCCAAGCTGTAAGAATACAGTTACCTATGTGCCTAAATCTACAACTCTGACAAGGTCAAAGACTGTTATATGGACTGGGACACCTCCCAACTAGTAGGCATCTAAGAAGGGAAGATAGTATGATGGGGCTAATGTCACAGTGAGAAGCTATGGAGGTTACATTGTTATGATGTTAGTACTGCAATAGCACTAGCACTACTCACTCATTGACCACGGTTCCATGGTCCCTCCCCAAAAGCTTGCAAGTACATACGGTGGATAATAAGTGGTTGTTTCCAAGCAGTAATGCTGGTTAACGTCATAGGGAGTGGTTTCAGCACACCAGCTGCCCAACTGTTCCCATCCTTGTTGAAGGAAGACAATGACATACTTTGGGATGCTTATGAGAAACTCCTCCTATGTGTTAAAGGCAGATGAGGAGAAAGTGCTATTATGTTTGCTTAAAAGGTCACCGATAGGAGAAAAGGCTGGCTCTGGTGCAGAGGAGAGAGGGTGTCTACTAGAAGATAAAAGTTTTGTTGCTATCTTCATGTTATTGTTCTTTCTGACTTGGTATTTTCTCCCCACTCTTAGTAGGACCTTTTTCCTGGATGACAGAAATTAGTGAAGGCTAAAAAGAAGAGGAAGCTTCTGCTAAGCACTTTGGCAGGCTTCAAACCATGATGAAGGGGAGAATGAATTGAAGAGAAAGAAGAGAGTGCTGAGCAAACAACACAAGGAGGCTGGGGATTCCAGGAGATTTAGAGAATACATGGACAGCTTCTCTCCTCTTCTCCAAGACAGAGTTGCTAAGTAAAAATCTATCACACCCATGAGCAGAAAATGGAAACAGAAAAGAAATAAAGCTTTCTTTCACTGTTGAGAAGGTAGGGAGAGAGCAGAAAGACAGCTGAACTGAGCTGCCTTTTTCCTAGATGCAAGTGTGCTTCTCCCCTAGCGTCCAGGAAAACAGGGAACCTTGCAGTGAAAAGTGATCCCGACCTCTTGTCCCTTACATTCACAATTTAGTGACAAGCCTTCTACTATCATCCCCTACTACTATGACACACCTAAAGTTAAGACTGTAATGTGTGTAGCCAGTGACACGTTTTTCCCAATATTTTCTATGACATTTTGGTATAAATGCATTTCAGATACAGGAAGAGTCAAACGTTATGGTATAAAATGAAATTTTGGAAAGTTTAAGAAAGATATACGCTCAGGATATTACCCCTCCACTGTATATCCAAACAGTACAATTATCTTACCTTCTAAAAATCCTGAAAACATATTTAGCAACCAATTTGGAACCAAGAAAGCTTTCCAAGCCATTTTAATGAGGTCAGAAAGGTTTTCTGTAGGTAGTTTATCATGCTAGTTACTTCATCTCCCATTTGCATTTTGTATTCTGCCTAGGCCCCTGTCCTGCAAAGTCCTCCACAGACAGACCCCTGCAACCATGTCAGTGAAATCAAGAGGACTTACTTGGGTATAAAGATTTGCAGCATCAAATCCTTATTTTTCCCCGATTTTCTAAAGATTGGGAGAGCATACCATCTATTTCAAAACAAAATTTTTTTTCTTGCTTGAGTCACAGGAAGGTATTCTCCTACAAATTTATGCTAATTGTTAAACTGCAGGTGTGGTCAGAAAAGTGACTGAGAGAGGCAACCTCTCTGTCACATTTATTTCTACTATAGATCAGCGGTTCCCAAACTCTGACACATTGTGTACCACCAATTTAAAATAATATAACCTTAAGTACCACCAGCAAATTTTTGTCATATAAA